ATTACGTTAGACCTATGGAAATTTTGTATGACATGTTTGACATACTCATGCCAACAGAAATTAGTAAACCAAGGAAGTACAGTAAAAGAAAAAGAATAGCAATGGAACATTTGAATATTGAACTCAAAGTGAAGAGATATAGACTCCAGAGATGTCATCTCAAAAAGCCGGGGTATCATATAGGAAGAAGATTAGTATATATCAATGCTAAGGTGCGAGTGTGATTCTCTGGACTTATGTATATAGGCTGGAGTGATTACTGAGTGACTATTGAGTGAAACTATACAGTTGAATTAGTGTGAATTATTGTTCATTGATGATTTGGGGTTTGATTTAGGATTTACCGGATGTTAAGCCAAGCCGTGCTACTAACAAGGTATTCACAGAAATGGTTACTTATCTTTGGTCAACATTTACTTCTTTGTTCTTGTTAAGTATTTACTTGAAGTTGTAATTAAATATTGTTTTATTTTAACATTGAAGTCTTGAGTTATACTTAATCATTAACGGCCACTGTACATCACAAAAGTATGAAAGTCATCATCCACTACAGACTAGTGGAACATGGAAGACCCATCACCGCAGACTCAACAACTTGACCAGCTAAAGAAGGCATTAAATCCAAGATTTCCAGCTTTCATATATAAAAAAAAGGTCTTCTCCAGCATGATAATGCAAGGGCACACATTGCAAAACAAACCCAAGAAAAAATAACGAGAGGGTCTTTCTCATCTTCAGTACTCACAAATTTTAGTACCTACAGATTTTTACTTGTTTCCATCACTGGAATATTACATTAGAAACATGATCGGTAATTGGTGGCAAAGTTCAGTATCTACTTCTATTCTGTCCATGGTATTCTCAGTATCCTTCTGTAGAACCATATCGCAGTTGCCTGAAGTTTCCTCTTTATCTGGGAGGAGATTGTCCAGCATTCATTGCCATGTATATTATCCAGCAGTTTGGCACTTTTTTCTTTGTTTCTAATGAAATTCTCCTGTTTCTTAATACTTTGTTTAGTTTTTGAAAAGCATCATACAACAAAACAAACCCAAGAAAAAATAATATCTTCAAGAAGATATTCCTCATCCTCAATATGCACAAGTTTTAGTGCCTACAGATTTTTACTTGTTTCCATCACTGGAATATTATATTTGAAACAAGATGGGTAATTGGTGGCAAAGTTCAGTCTCTGCTACTATTCTGCTAATAGATGCTTCTGTAGTCTTGCATCACCAGAATATAATAGCAGCCATTACCCTTGGAGTTTTTCTTTTAGTTCTGAAGTCCATCCCATATTTTATTGATCGTATTTTCATCCAATTGCTTGTTAAAGATTGGCAAACATCTCTTTCTAATTCAAATATATTACATCTCTTGAAATCTCAGCCTACTCAATAACCAGTTAGAGCAACAAGAATCCAGCCACTTCAGTGTTCTTGAGCCAACGAGTACCTACTTGAGCAAGGTAGTTTGCGAAAACAGTTCTCCAGACTTGAAAAGAAGAATTTTCAACATTCTTCAGTCGAATCGCTTTGTTCTGCTTTGTTAGTCAATGTCAGTTCCATTTGCATATGGAATGATAAATTCTCTTAAAGGAATTCATTTCTCTGCTGTATCTTCCAAATTCATCATTATCGGCACCATCTTTGTTTATGCATTATATCTTTTCAGCACATAGTTGATCAGGGGTCTTTATCACAATCTACTCTTAGTAGATCTATGCAGTATTTGTTCTCGTAACATCCTTTCCAGTTCCTTTTCGACCACCAATCTACACAAGCCCATTCAGCAGATTAGTTGCATTCAATATGTCCTCCAAGTGTTAAATTCACAAAGCCTTGTTTCCTCATTTTGATACCAGAAATTTCAGCTGTCTAATTTTTATTGTTTCATTATGATATAAAATACAAACTGCACACTAATATATTTACAACATCATGTCTACAACACAGTAATATTCAGAATCTTAAATTCTATGGAAAATTACAAAGACATTTTTACTCTAACTAGATTACACTAACTTTATTTCATTTTAACAGATAAATTCATATTACAAGAAAATTTAATGGATTTATAACTTTTCAAAATTCAAACAAAATTCTTACTTGATCAATTTAAACAAGAACTCTAGCGTTGCCGCCTTGCACACACCAAAACATATATTCATCTGTCAATAAATAACATAATTTAAAAAGAAATACATATTTTGGTCTACACATACTTCATCTTAATTTTCCATATGTATGGGAAAATTGCATGTTGAAGATGACAATTTAAAGTATGAAACAGTATCTCAATTCAGTGTTGACTTTTGCGTACACTTTTTTTATGTGGAATGGATTATTTTAATATATTTTATTGTTATATGTTATTTATATAGACACAAATATTTAAGTAAATGCTCTGTTTATTGTAAACAGTATTATCAACATTTACCAGCCTGAATATGAAAGAAATTTCAAAGAAAATATGCGTCCTCTGACAGGAATCGGACCTGTATCCTACACGGAATTGTCATATAGCCTGACGTGCTATACCAGATTAGCTACAGAGGAGTGTCTGGTTAGCAGTAAAAGCAGTAAAATTGTGGTTAGAATATTCGCTTTCTGAACATGAGATCCGGGTTCAAATCTCACCAGGGTCAATTTGTCAGGAAGGTAACTTCTAGGTGTTATCCATCTGGAGGAGGAAATCCCAAGATGCGGTACCTTTGACAAGTGACTGAAAACCATACCACAGATTGGTCTAAAACTTGTGAGTGAAATGGGAGAGACAGAACCCTTTGGAAGTTATTGATTGTTGTGCTAGCACAGGGTTTGAGCGTGCAAACCTTATTCAGATTTTGATCTCGCTAGATAACACAGAACTGTAACTAAGGTCTGCTCAGCATAGTTGCGGCATAAACCACAGGTAGACTTTAAGTGTGTTGAACAAACATAAATGGGCCTGAGCAGGCATTTGCAACAGGAATTGGTTATCCACCCTAGTAGATGGGCATCCTCGGATACGAATGGCCAACCGTTCTTTTTTTTAAGTTTGTACATGACTGTCTGTAGCAATGGTGTTTAGCCTTTTTTACATCATCGCTATCTTTCAGATGGAATAATTTTCCACTGCCTACCTGTATAGTAAATATTCAAGAGCATACCAAAATTGTTTGGTAAAAGTTTGATATTAGTTCATTAACTAACTTTATGATGTAGCAAAACATACCAAAGGGAGATAACAAATAACACTGACTTATGAGGTAGTGATTGCTGCTCCTACTATACTCAAGAACAAATAAAATCAAACTTGACCATTAAAAACTATATAGAAAAATACCAAAATATACCAAATTTGCAGGGATATTTATATCTTACTAGCAGCATGGCCCGGCGTTGCCCGTGCTTGATTCAAAAATCATACGACTCATACAGCAATCGCTATCACTTGACTTAAAATATTTTTGCCCTTCCTTACCTTTAAAGGAGTGCCCTTTGCCGTGCTGATGTTGCTACATGCCTTACTTCTTGCCTATCTCACACTACAAATTTTTTCTAAGCTCTATACTAAACATTAAATCTGTTACGAAAAAAGAACTAAACAAAATGAACACAAAACGATCAACTTTAAAAAAGGACTCGTAACTGGAAAAAACGAATGAAAAAAGAATGTTAACAACAAATACATTTTCACACCCAACCCAGTTCTGTGGAATCAGAATCAACGTTGAGTTTAAGCAAGCGAATGAGCCAATTGGAGTAAAGTGCCATGCAGATTTAAATTTTTCCTACTTGTGACGAATGCAGCTATCAATTTTTTTTGCATACTAGCATGCTAGTTTACATTCGTGTCAGTCAGCTGTTGGCTCTCACACTGGCCAATAGAATCTTCCTGCTTATTTGTGGCAGCCAGCTATAGTCTCTCACTCTGGCCAGTAGAAAATGGCTGCAAACTACATGAAAACTGACGTAGAAGGATTAAAAAATCGATTATTTCCACTATCGATGGTAGTTGGGAAATGCAATGTCAGTCTTGGCCTTCCAACTAACTTGGAGCATGTAAATTTTGGTGCAAATCCGTCGAAAATTGTGGCTGTGCATTTGTTACACACACACACACACATCCTGCCTTTTATAGATAGAGATCTAGGACCGTGACCCATTTATTCCCATTTAGCCTGTTTTTGTTTTTTTAATACAGGTTATTTTCATGTTTTTTTTAGTAGCCTATGCTGAAATATATTTCCCACCATTTTCTGTTCAGTTGCTAATCACCCACCCAGCAGTTGAAATCAGCTACTGGTGAGTGATTCTGTCCATGTTTGGAAATGCTGGTCTCAAGTATTCTTTATTTTTTATGAGTTTTCCATATTCTTTAACAATTTGCCAGATGGTATTGTAATTACACTTACTTAGAATTCAAAGAATGTCAACAATAAGTTTGGTTAATCGGCAGAACAAAATCATAACTACATGTTACTATACTGACTTCGATGAATGTTGCTTTTTAGCTTTCCAATGTCCATGTTTTGCAGGTGGTAAATTGGCCTACAAACAGATATTGAATGATGGAAGACAAACAAAATGAAGGCTTGAGTAAAAAATATATTGCTAAGTTAATTTTCATTAAAGAAAATGCATCAACAACATTACAGCTGTTCCCTGGGACTGGGTACCTCTCAGGTTCTATCTTCCTCAGCTGCGTCTCTGTCCACAATCAGAGTCACAACTGAATCGCACTTTTACCAAAGACGGACGCAATCAAATCACACATTGCCCAAAGACTGAGACACAACTAAGTTGCACTCTGCCCGAAGATAGAGATGGAACTGAGAGATGATAATCCTCCCCCAGCAGAAATGGTAAGAAATGTCTGTTCTGTCTATGAAAATGAAGCCTTATGTTTACAGACATGGCAACAATTCTTTGTTAAGTTTCAATCAAGAATCTTTTCTCTCAAAGATTCCCCTTCATCTTAACAAGGTTTACGGCTACATTACATTGAAACCCCTGTACAATCACTGAAGTTAAGCAACATCGAGCCTGGTTAGTACCTAGATGGGCGACCGCTTGGGAATATCAAGTGTTGTAAACTTGGATATGTGGGTGGTGTAATTGATAAAGGCTTGAAATTGTTAAAAAGGGAGCCAAGTTCAAATTCTAGTTGTGTTTGTTATATTCACTTACATGCAAATACCCATAGTGAAGAACTATTCTACCCTTTTAAAATGCATGTTGTATGAATTCACAGAGGGTCCTTCAGCAACAGAAATGGCAAGAAATAAATCTCCCCCTGTCTCCCCACTGAGACATGATGTGACACAAGTTTGGGTTTAATATGGGGAACCTGAGCACATACACTCGGGTCAGGAAAAAAAAAATTGCCCATTACCCGCAAGTATCATTTGTGCTGGCTTCAGTATGACTACTAAATCCCCACCTACATCTCTAGTGCAATGGTGGGGTGCAGCCTTGGTGAGTTGTTCCTCAGGACTAGGCATCTTACAGTTTTCATTTTCTATTTTATTTTATTTTTATTTTTTTATTTTATAACCTAATCATGGCTGTCAATGACAATTTCTGCAAATACATCCCACCTTATATCTGGCCACATAACCTCTCAGACTGCAACCCCCTTGATTATTATGTGTGGGGCGCAGTTGAGTGGGAGACCAACAAAACTCCTTGAAACACCAAAGATGAACGGAAGGCAAGGATTTTGGCAGCATTCATCAACTTAAACAAGGAGACTGTCCTGAAGAGTTGTAGAAGATTCCGAAGTGGTCTGGAGGTCGTGGTTGAAGCCACTGATGATATATTAAGTGAATTTACTCTTTATTATTTCAAGATATGTTTGTGCAATATTGGTAAATATATCTGTTAAATTGAGATGTCAGTGTTATTTTTATTTATTTTTTTTTATTTTTATATTTTTATTTATTTTTTTTTTTTTTGCGTAATTTAGACGACAATTTATCCATCGCACCCTGTATAATATCAGAGTGGATAAAATTCATAATTATTCTACCCTTTTAAAACGCATACTGTATGAATTCACAGAGGGTCCTTCAGCAACAGAAATGGCAAGAAATAAATCTCCCCCTGTCTCCCCAATATGAGGAGATGCAACACACAGTTTGGGTTTAACTCAGGTCTTGGAAAGAAATTGACGAGTCCCCCGCAAGAATCAGTTATGCTGGCATCAGTATGAATCCCAATCCCCCTCTAGTGCAATGGTGGGGTGCAGCCTCAGGCAGATGTTCCTCTGAACTGGCAGTTCACAGTTTTTATTTTCCCTAGCTGCGTCTCTCTTGACAGCTGGGGAAAAAGTCACACTCTGCTCGAAGATAGAGATGCAACTGAGAGATGATAATCCTCTCACAGCATGGGCTGCAAAAAGACATCCTTTGTGTTGCTTTGAGTCGTTTCTATATCCTGAATCAGTCTGGTTAAGATTTTACATTCAGTTGTTTCTAAAAAATGTGAGAGTATGAACAGGATACAACACATGTCTGTGCCTGCATATCTGCTTCTAGCTAATTCCATTTTATTTTAGAAGCTACCTTGATTGTTATAATCACAACATTTCATTTGTTTTAACCTGGGGAAGATGATAAACTACATCCAAGAACAAGGTCTATCATTGGGAGATTGGAGGCTTTGAGGATCCTGGGACTACCTCTTAATTTCTGTTGTTCACAGCTCCACCCTGGCTTGGGGTGGTAGCACCAGTTAGGGTCCCATCTATGGGCAAATAGTTAACTCTCCAAACAAAAACACTATGAAAGTATAAAAACACATTTTGATAGTAAAAATACCAGCAATACATTTTTATATAAAAAAAGACTGACAGTACTCCTCCAGATATACAAATCAACAATTCGCCCTTGCATGGAGTATTGCTGCCATATATGGTCTGGCGCCCCTTCTATTTGCCTCGGGGTTCTTGATAGGCTCCAGAAGCGGATATGCAATATGGTTGGCCCTGCCCTGGCATCTCGTCTACAGTCACTCTCTCACAGACGCGCCGTCGCCTCCCTCTGTCTGTTCTACAAATACTTTCATGGAAATTGCTCCGAGGAGCTGCATTCGCTGGTTCCCAGACGTCACGAGTTCAAGCGCCCTACGAGGCTGGCATCCGGCTCTCACCCTTTCACTGTCGAAACTCCTAAATGTAGCCGTCTCTTCTACTCTAATAGCTTCATGTCTCACACCTCTCGCCTGTGGAACTCCCTTCCCTTCTCCTGTTTCCCTGTGAGCTATAATCTCCAGCTATTCAAGTGTAATGTCAATTGACATCTCCAGTTGCCTTGATCTATCCACTACCCTCATCCTTTCTTCTATCACTCCTATTAGATCTTCTAAATTTTCTGTAACCCCTTGCGTCCTAGTGGCTTCCCGCCTTGCTTGGGATAAAATGCTTATCTGTAGTTGAAACCATGAAATCATCTACAAATTATTTAGATTTTGGCATTAAATTACTCATAGTGGTTGATACAAAATCAACCAAATCAACCAACATTCATAACATTATGAGAATGTATAACCTCTGGCCATAATCAGAAATCTGTTATATTTAGTAACATTATGAGAATTCTAAAGTAAACTGTTCCGATAAGCTGCTTTCGCTGGTTCCCAGACTCCATGAATTTAAGTGTTCAACTAGGTTGGCATCATGCTCTCACCCTTTCACTGTCGAAACTGTTAAATGTATCCGTCTCTTCTACTCCAATAGCTTCATGTCTCACATTTTTCACCTGTGGAACTCCCTCCCTTTTTTCCTGTTTCCCTGATAGCTATAATCTCTATTCAAATGTAATGTCAATTGACGTCTCCAGATGCCTTGATCTATCCCCTATCCTTCCCTTCATCCTTTCCTCTATCATTCCTCTTTGCTCTTGCTCCAACTTTCTGTAACCCCTTGTGTGCTAGTGGCTTCACACCTTGCTTGGGGTGAAATGCTTAGAAAAAAAAACTTTTTTGATAAGAGCAGTCTGTTTTCGTTGTCTGCGAATGAAAGAAACACTTTTTTCTCTTGGTTAATTCTTCTTGGATAAATTATTTTTGGTAATGCCATGGAAGAATCAAACATGACATCAGAAGATCAATTTAATTAGGAAGAATAAACTGATCTTTGTATATGGTTTGCAGAGCAAACTTCACTTGTGAAATGAATAAAGTGTTTCTTTTGAAATTGTATGAACATTATATAACAGGGACCTGATGAACCCTAAAAAGTACAGGAACTGATATTATCGAATGATAATGACGTAGATGTTGCTGTTAATGTGAAATACATTGATATATAATAAGGATAACTCAACTTCGCAGAAATTCTGACAGAATTTATTGGCAACATAATGTTGATAATTTGCAAAATGTCCGTTTGGAATATTAACCCTCCATTGTAAAACTACACTACAGATACAACCTACAAATTGTTTGGCTCACGAATCTGTAACCCCTTGTGTCCTAGTGGCTTCCCACCTTGCTTGCGGTGAAATGCTTAAAAAAAATCTATCTATCTATCTATCTATCTATCTATCTATCTATCTCAGCCTGTTCATATCTATCTATCTATCTATCTATCTATCTATCTATCTATCTATCTATCTATCTATCTCAGCCTGTTCATATCTGTCTATCTATCTATCTATCTATCTCAGCCTGTTCATATCTATCTATCTATCTATCTATCTATCTATCTATCTATCTATCTATCTATCTATCTGTCACATTCAGTTCATCTATCTATATCTATCTATCTATCTATCTCAGCCTGTTCATATCTATCTATCTATCTATCTATCTATCTATCTATCTATCTCAGTCTGTTCATCTCCTCATCCTTTCTTCTATCACTCCTATCTGACCTTGCTCCAAATTTTCTGTAACCCCTTGCTTCCCACCTTGCTTCGGGTGAAATGCTTAAAAAAAAAAAAAAAAATGAATGACCAGCGTCTGCATATATAACATCCTTTGCAATTGTTACAGACATTTTAAGAGAGAGAAAACAGCTAGAGACAAGATATGGGAAACATCTACTATTTGTGCTGCAATAACTAAATCAAGCATGGCAGAACATGTGTGGCTATAAAGTGGATGTAAGTTGTTCTTTTTTGAAATGAGATGAAATTAACAGAGTGGGATAAAAGCATGATTTCATTAGTAATTGGAATTTAGAATAAACAGAAACCAATGCTAACATGATTAAGTGCAAAGATATAAGGACCCTCTCTAGCTTGATCATGTACATCCTATGACAGATGGGAAGATTCTGAAGGTCCTTCTATACAGGTTATATATATATATATATATATATATATATATAATAAAAAGGCTTAAACACTAATATTCCATGGTCATAATTTATTCCATTGGAATCGTAAATACGATCCAATTCATCAGACCTACAAATTCAAAAAAAAACAGAAAAAAACAACTCCGGAAATAAAAATAGAATTTAGAGAGAAGGTGTGAGAGTGTGGGATGAATGTTAGAGCTAAAGAGAGGGGAAACAGACGAGAGAAGGTGAAAGATTAAACCTTAACAGAGAGAAATTTTAGGGAGGTAAGTGGAAGAGCTTTAAGTGAGAAAAACATGAATGTTGTTGGATGTCCAGTACATTAAAGATACATTTTGTGGTGACATACACACCATAGACAATCTAATGTTAAAGATCAGAATAAGGGAGAGGAAAAGAGAAGAAGAAGGGGTGGGGGAAAGAGATGGGGCGTGGGAAGCTAAGACTGAAGGGCATTTACTGAAAGGGCCGCTGTGTAATTGAGTTCTACCTGGATTCTATCCTCTTGGAATTTTTTATTCATAAAATATACATGTATGTGTATGCACCTATGTAGATATATTTACATATTTTACATATGTATGTGCATATTTACCATTATATATATATATATATATATATATATATATATATATATATATATAAAGACATATAGTTTTAACATGTGCTATATTTATGGGATAAAGTTATCAATATTGGAGATAGAGCATATGTAAATCTAAATGTAAAAGTGAAGATTGGAATCAACCCTCAGAGGCGACAGGCTGTTTCATGCTAGATGCAATGCATCTAGCATGAAACAGACTGTTGCCTCTGAGTGTTGACTTCAACATTCATTTTTATATTTAGATTTATAATATATATATATATATATATATATAGATATATATATAGATATATATATACATGTGTTTTTATTTTTAATTTATTTTGTTTAAACATTGATTTTATTAAAATGAATTAATTTTCCTCTGTTCAAGTAAGACATTTGTGTTACTGCCATACAAAATAGAGAATGTTTAACATTGAGAATATTTAACATCAAAAAACATAAGGAAATTAATTCATTTTAATAATATGTGGAAATATCTACTCTTTGCCTGAAGAAGGTCATAAGACCCAAAACTCATGTTGCAAAATTATGGAAAATAAAGCATAATATATATATTTTTTAAAAATCCACATTACAACCAAACACATTTGTGGCTTTCTCTCTTCTTTTTAATATATATATATATATATATATATATATATATATATATATATATATATATATATATATATATATATATATATATTATATGAGAAATATTCTTTACATGCATTTTGTCCTCTGATTGACTTTACCAAGGCAAGTATAAGGATTTTATTTTGCAAGATGTATTTTTAAAGCAGAAGTAAAAACATTGTTAGGTTTTTAAGTTTTTAAACTTAAGAATTCTCAAAAATATTCTTATTTCTAACAGCGTAAGTCAAGGTAAACTATGAGTTTCAATAATATAGATGTGGATCTTCAGTCTTGGCTTGTAATCAGTCTAGGACAATGTCTACTTTAAATTCAAAATTGCCAAAAAGGCAGTGGGAAACAACACCACTATCTCTTAAAATAAATCTCATGCAAGTCATAAATAATCTCAGAAGAACCGTGATCCGCTAAGACCTGAAGAGATATGACATTAAATAAATATAAAAATCAGTCTTTTTTCTTTCTTATTTTTTTTCCCAAAAATATTTTTCACCTCACAAATTTCCATAATTTACACTCATCAGATTATGTCAATAAAATATGCATGAAGCTTCAGTTTGGTAAAGAATATCTTTTGAAATTCCGCGTTTTTTTTTTTCAAGTTGACAAGATATCTCCTCAGTGATGTATTTGGAAATGTTTCTGATGACACATATTTGCCTTTTGTTATGATTTGACACTCGATAGTCTACATATTCCTGGAACTGGTTCAACAGAAGAATACTAAAAGACACTTTTAAAATTCAGGTTACATATTGGCCTTGAAAATAAATTGAATGAAAATAGTCAAACTGAACGCTAGAGAGAGAGGAAGAGAAAGTGATAGATAGATAGATAGATAGATAGATAGATAGATAGATAGATAGATGTGAAAGGAATAACATAGATAGATAGATATGAAAAGAATGAAATAGATAGATAGATAGATAGATAGATAGATAGATAGATAGATAGGAGATTTTTACACTGGCTTTACAGATTTCTATTAGTTTGACTTTTGTTGAGATATATAAATATATTTTTGTGCATGTATGTGATTTAGACAGATACATTAAAACAGAATGAGATAGCTAGATTGATAGTGAGCTAGCTAGCTAGCTAGCTAGCTAGATAGATAGATATGAATTGAGACAAATAGATAGATAGATAGATAGATAGATAGATAGATAGATAGATAGATAGATAGATAGAAAAAAAAGAAAGAGAGAGATTGAACTGGTCGTGATAGATAGATAGATAGATAGATAGATAGATAGATAGATATTGAATTGGTCATGAAAGAAAGAAAGAAAGAAAGAAAGAAAGAAAGAAAGAAAGAAATTGAACTGGTCGTGATAGATCTTGAATTGTTCGGGATAGATAGATAGATATTGAATTGGTCGTGATAGATAGATAGATAGATAGATAGATAGATAGATAGATAGATAGATAGATAGATGTGAAAAGAAAGAAATAGATAGATATAAAAAGAATGGGATAGATAGTTTGGTTTATTTGGTTAATTTTGTTTTATGTCAGATGTATTACTGGCAATTTTTTTTTTTTTTTTCAAAAATGTATTGTTGGTGTTTTTACTATAAAAAAACTCTTTCTATACTTTCATAGTGCTTTGACTACAGTTTGTGTGTTAACTATTTGCCCATAGCTAACAGGTGCTACCACCATGGGTCAGGGTAGACTTGGGAACAATGGCAATTAAGAGGGGGTTCTGCATTCCTCAAAACCTCCCAATCAGAGGCCTTGCTGCTGGATGTAGTTTATTGTCATACCCAGGATGCGATAGATAGTTAGAAATATAGATATGAAAAGAACACAATATCTATCGGGAAAGATATAAAAAGAAAGAGAGATTGATCAAACAATAGATAGATAGATAGATAGATAGATAGATAGATAGATAGATAGATAGATAGATAGATAGATAGATAGATATGAAACGAATAAAATATATGAAGAGATAGATATAAATATAGGTAGATAAGAAAAGAATGATATAGATAGATAAACAGACAGATAGATAGATAGACAGACAGATAGATAGATATGAAAAGAATGAGATATATGAATAGATAGATATAAATATAGATAGATAAGAAAAGAATGAGATAGATAGATAGACAGACAGACAGATAGACAGGCAGACAGATAGATAGATATGAAAAGAATGAGATATATGAATAGATAGATATAAATATAGATAGATAAGAAAAGAATGAGATAGACGGACAGATAGACAGACAGATAGATAGATAGATAGACAGACAGATAGATAGATAGATAGATATGAAAAGAGTGAGATATATGAATAGACAGATATAAATATAGATAGATAAGAAAAGAATGAGATAAATAGATAGATAGACAGACAGACAGACAGACAGATAGATAGATAGATAGATATGAAAAGAGTGAGATATATGAATAGACAGATATAAATATAGATAGATAAAAAAAAGAATGAGATAGATAGATAGATAGAGAGAGATAGATAGATATAGATAGATAGATAGATATGAAAAGAGTGAGATATATGAATAGATAGATATAAATATAGATAGATAAGAAAAGAATGAGATAGATAGACGGACAGATAGATAGATAGATAGATAGATAGATAGATAGATAGATAGATAGATAGATAGATATGAAAAGAGTGAGATATATGAATAGATAGATATAAATATAGATAGATAAGAAAAGAATGAGATAGATAGATAGATAGATAATTTGATAGAACAACTGCATTTTCTTCTTGATTCTCAGTGAAAATATTTAGAGGAAGCAGAGATTAATATCATCAATCTTTCGAAGCTTGCAACTATTATATTCCCAATTGACGACAAAATGAAAATAATGCTGAATTTAATAAAAAGCATTAATGGCACAAAAATTACATTACTTTTGTTTCATGTATGAAAATAACTTTAATGGATACAGACTTTAAAAATTACTAATGAGCGATGTGCATTTCTTAAGTAGGACTATGATCCCGTATTGAAATGAGAGTAGTGATGGCACCTAACCTCAATCTATTGGGAACATTCAGAATGCAGAATTAATATATTCTAAACATTAAAAGTTTGGCATCGTGGGTGAGACAATAAACTTCATCCGTGTCCTGGGTAAGATGATAAACTTACATCCAACAGCAAGTCCTCTGATCAGGTTTTGAGGAGCAAAGAACCACCTGTTAATTGCTGGTGTTCCCAGGTCCACTGGTAGCACCTGTTAAGGTCCCAGCCATAGGTAAAATAGTTAACCCCCAAAACACTATGAAAGTGTAAAAATAGGTTTTAATACCAAAAAATTATTACCAGCAATATATCTTTGAAGAAAATTTTTTATCAGCAATACATTATTACCAGCAATACATTTTTGAAAAAAAAATATTACCAGCAATAAAAATCTTGTTGGCATTAAATAACCCATTGTGATTGATATGCAGTAAAATAAACCAAACCAAACGTAAAAGTCTATACCTGCTAATATTATGTACATACATAAAACAAAAACACTGTCATTTTTATGCAATTAATGTTTTTATTTAAGTCATTATTATTTCATATTATGATAAATCTTAACATTTATGATAAATCTTAACATTTATGTTAACTCTTAACATTTATGATAAATCTTAACATTTATGATAAATCTTAACATTTATGATAAATCTTAACATTTATGTTAACTCTTAACATTTATGATAAATCTTAACATTTATGTTAAATCTTAACATTTATGATAAATCTTAACATTTATGTTAACTCTTAACATTTATGATAAATCTTAACATTTATGTTAACTCTTAACATTTATATTAAATCTTAACATTTATGATAAATCTTAACATTTACGTTAACTCTTAACATTTATGATAAATCTTAACATTTATGATAAATCTTAACATTTATGTTAACTCTTAACATTTATATTAAATCTTAACATTTATGATAAATCTTAACATTTATGTTAACTCTTAACATTTATGATAAATCTTAACATTTATGTTAACTCTTAACATTTATGATAAATCTTAACATTTATGTTAACTCTTAACATTTATGATAAATCTTAACATTTATGATAAATCTTAACATTTATGATAAATCTTAACATTTATGTTAACTCTTAACATTTATGATAAATCTTAACATTTATGTTAACTCTTAACATTTATATTACATCTTAACATTTATGATAAATCTTAACATTTACGTTAACTCTTAACATTTATGATAAATCTTAACATTTATGATAAATCTTAACATTTATGATAAATCTTAACATTTATGTTAAATCTTAACATTTATGATAAATCTTAACATTTATGTTAACTCTTAACATTTATGATAAATCTTAACATTTATGTTAACTCTTAACATTTATATTAAATCTTAACATTTATGATAAATCTTAACATTTACGTTAACTCTTAACATTTATGTTAAATCTTAACATTTATGATAAATATTAACATTTATGTTAAATCTTAACATTTATGATAAATCTTAACATTTATGTTAAATCTTAACATTTAGTGGACACATGTTTGAGTAGACATCCAATTTTCTTTTGTAACATTGAAATTAATGTCTACTGGCCTAGAGATTTAGATAAGGTAAATAGATTATTTGAGACTTGCTTAGTCATAATGGCTTCCTTTAACCTTGCTTATATGTTCTGTATCTAAAGAAAAATACCAAAGAAATGTGTAGAATATGGAGTAGAATTTATTACATTTACTCTTCAGAAACAACACTGTACACTATAATGATAATAATTATAGTGAGGTTATTTTTTAGTTCATTCATTCCTATTAACAATATTTTTAACAGCATTATACATATATATATATACAGATTGACAAACCTCTCATCAATGGACTAATAGTGGGGATGGGTGTTCCATTAAAGCCAATTGTCCATAGATAGGAAGGGGATTAGTTTTTAGTTATAAAACCACTATAGTAACTACTAGTAGTTATGATCATAATGTAAATACTATAAACATGTATATATGGCATAAATAAATATATGCTCAATATAGATATATTAATTTAAGTAACAAAAATAATAGACCATATATGGCAGCAATATTCTAAGCATGAATGAATGGTCGACTTATAGACATGTAAGAGAAAAATTGTTTTGCCCAACATTGGGAACTGACTTTCTTAGCAGCTGACCTAGATAATTATTCAATATAGTCTTTCCAATTCATATCAGAAGAGAATGTGAGCCTGAGAAGGCACAACAAATCACTTCCCTGGAAATTAGCACCAACCATGCTGTATAAACGCAATATACATCCCTTCAGATACGAACAAAACAGAAGGAAATATATCCATGTTTTATAGATTACATTGCTAGGCAAAGTTCTATTTGAAATGTTAGGTAAAATTAAATAAAATTTCTGCCTGAATTTCTGGCATGATGAATTATCATTATTTACTGTTGGACTAATATCCTCATCTTTGCTGTTATTATCAATTATTATAAAGAAGTCAGGAAATTTTTGTCTGAATTTCTGGGATGAGGAATTATCATTATTTATACTGTTTATATTTGGACTATTGTCCTCATACTTGTTGTTGTTATCACTGCATTTTTGCCATTGTGGCATCTGGCCTTCATGAAGTGTATAATCCATATAGGTTACCCAGATGGGCAGCCTTAAACACCTTACTTATTATAAAACGCATATTGTGTGTGTGTGTGTGTGTGTGTGTGTGTGTGTGTGTGTGTCTGTCTGTCTGTACGTTTATATATTGGATCGGATTTCCTACATTTTTCAACCAATTTCAACAAAACTTCACAGGACTAGGTAAAATTACCTTGTGGTGGTTCTGACAGCACCAAAAATTGGAAAAACACAATTGTTTTTGCACAAAATCAATTTAAAAACACGATAAAACACGATTCTGTCACAAGAATGAAAGGAGAACAACTCATATCAAGGTATACTTATTATAAAACCCAGGTTGTGTGTGTGTGTGTGTGTGTTCATTTATATATGGGATTGGATTACCTACATTTTTTAACTGATTTCAACAAAACTTCACTTTTTTGGCAGGTAGTGTTTCTTATTGTCTTGCACACTTTTTTCTTTGTTTTAACATTCAGAATGCTTTAAAAATTCCATTTACAAGACAATTGTTTATAATAAAATTCTATTCAATCGTAACGATTGAACGATTGAAAACAATGTTTTTGTTTGAGTTTGGGTTTGACCAATTCGTAAAGAAAAAAACAAACAAAACAACAAAAAACAAAACAAAAAAAAACTAATTAAGACATGCGTGTCTGTCAACCTTAAACAATAATCTTTGTCAATTTTATTTTTCAGTCTTTATGATGGTCGATACTTGATCTATCTCTTACTGTTATATTCTTGGGCAACACCGAGCTCTACTGCTAGTTGCTTATATATAGAAGTTCAACTCAAGATTAGGCTGAACTGTTGTCTAGAATAAGAATTTTCATATAATTGGTCAACCTGTATTTCAATTATTGTAAGAATTTTAAAAATTTTGTTCACATTGAATTATGATGTTTTGGAACAATCCATTGTCTTTTTTTTTGTCAATGATCTTCATGTCTTTCTTTGATTTCCTTTTTTTTTAATTTCATTTTTTTATTTTTAATTATCCAGTCTGTATTAATTTCCTTGATCTTTATGTAATGCTCAAGAAACCTTTGTTCTAAGGAGATTGGAATAGTCTTTGTTTCTGACAAATGATCGATCGAACAGATTTTTGCATATTTCTCATTTGCATATAACCATTATTTCTTTTGTACTATCTCTCTCTCTCTCTTTGACTCAGAAACACCAAAATCTTCTCTTTTCATTATGTACAATATGTTTAAGCGATCAAATAAATCAGTTTCAACCAAACATCTTTGGCATCTGTCCGTTTATTTAAGCAAACCATCTCATAGTTTCTACAGAATATTTTGTTTGCTTGAAATACACACACTTTAGAAGATTCAATAAAATTTTAAATATTAAATCACAAAACGTTGAGTAAATGTGAGCTGCATACCTTTGGGTAAATCAGGACTTGCTAAATCAATGCTCTCCATAAATTCCTATGCTTTGTAACTCAAGATTTCAGCCGACAGAAACACTAACTATTTGGTCAAAAAACATTTCATGTTTCCTGGATGAAAACAACTGACCCCATTGTTTGCAATGTTCAGTGCGCTCATAATTTTGCTCAGATTAAGAAAGATGGTGGACAGTTGGCTGCTGTGAAATTGGTCAGCCTGATTTCTGTTTATCACAAGAATTTTATGTACATTTTTTTTAACTTGATTCATGATCTTTCTCAAACAATTCATTGTCTTTCCTTTCAGTCAATGAAATTCATGTTTTATTTTATTTATTTTTTTATATTTATTCATCCAGTTTGCATTAATTTCCTTGATCTTTACATAATGCTCAAAAAACCTTTGATCTAAACAGATTGAAATGATCTTTGCTTTTGGCAATTGATTGATCAAAAATGCTTTTGCATATTTCCTTTTACATATTTCCTGTCGCTTCTGGCTTTAAACAATTGACAATTTGCCATATATTTTTATACCTTAACCCCCAATGCTATCTGTTCACAAAATCATGAAGATGAAGTATTATAACTATTTACACTATTTACAAGGACACATGGTTCAGTGGATAAAAGCATTGGTTGAAGTAACCTAGTGACTTAACCCAAAGAATTGTGAGTTCAATACCTGGCTACAGCA